CGTGCCGGGGCCTGTACCAGCGCTGGGCGTTCGTGGCGATGAAGGGCATGTGCGTGCCCTTCAACTACGGCGGGTGCCGCGGCGGACAGAACAACTTCCTCACGCAGCAGGACTGCATGGACACCTGCAAGGTGCTGCTCGGTACGTAATTTCCAAATATTAAATAGAAATTTGTCTTTTTATTTGTTTCTTTGTTTACAACGTATATGCTCCGAAAGTATTGAAACGATTTAAGAAATTCTTTCACTGTTGGGAAGTTACACTATCCCCGGGTGGAGTTGGATATGTTTATACTATATTATATTAAAATTCCGTACGGATTATGTCGCGGACAACTGGTAAAAGGTTAAATATCTAAGTATGGTCTTGAAAGAGTCCGTAAACTTGTGGTGTTTCTGTTAATATTTTAATGAGCCTGGTTTTGTGGCATGAGTATGTGCAGTGGATTGCGAGTAACGCGCGTGACGTGTGTGGGGAGGGGGGGGTGGGAACGCGCGGCCTTGACCTCCGCCCCCCCCCCTCCCACACTCACGCAGCGCGCGGAGTTATGTGCATCGTAAACACAACATGCCCACTACACACACCCTAAAACAACATAGGTATTCGTATGCGGGATCTTTACCCGACTTCACGATCTCTTAATCTTACAGCAAGTAATTGGAGGGAGACACACGTCATTACTGTTGATATTATATCTTTAGTACATACTAATCTTAAACTTATCAACTGACGAAACAGTTTTGGCGTTGGTGATCGTACGTTGGACGAATGCAACAGATGTTATTTTCTGCAAACTGCAGATTGCAATGCAGTTGACAAAGCGGACCGCGCCCCGTGCAAGTAACCGACACACACAGTACTAAATAATCAGGAGCTGCGCGAAACTGACATGTTAACTGGCAATCAATCATTACGCTGGCAGGTCGCCAGCCCCTGCCGGCGCGGCCACATGCTGCTACTGCCCGTCTCAAATATAATATAGTTTACTGCATATACTATTCTTATTTATATGATTTATGTCCAAGGAGAAAGTTATTACATTTACTACGTTTCTTATCCACTAAATTATAAAATAAATTAGATTGTTTGAGTTCTCTAATCTCTGTGTTTTACGAAACTAATAGATTGCACCTATATAT